TCAACTTGTTTTGTCATTTTTCTCAGAACGCGTGTTTTTAATCTCCCGGCAAAAGTATCTTGAGAACCGCTTCACTTTTAATTTTCAAGAAGTGTTTCTCTCATAAAGATGTATGCAATGAATAGACAACTTTTTAAAAACGTTTTTTAAACTAAAGAAATTAAAGAAAACGTTTATCATTTTTGTTATTAAAATATTTTCAAAAATTAAACAGACCTACCACCTGACAGAAAAGTTTTTTGCAAAAAATGTCTGCTTATTGCATAGATCTATCTTTCTACTATAAGTTGGAAAAAAATTTTGCTAAAAGTATCGTTTTTATTAAGCGCAATCTTTGCCAGGGTGAAGAAACTAGTTTGGCATTTTTCCTTGCTCATAATCTGACACTTCACACTTTGACTCGCTTTCAATAATTATTCAATATGTGAGCCAGGAAACTGTTGTAGAAAAAAGATTTATTTGGTTTGAGTTTTATTGAGGACTTAATGGGAGGTCTATGATAGAAACAGTCAAGAAAAGATTTAAAAGGCTTGAACATAAAAGTTAATATTAACGATACTTGCGGTGAGTCATATGACAATACATCTAACATGTCTAGAAAATACAACAACCTGCAAGCACAACTGAAAAATGAGAACCCAAATGAGAACCCAATTGCTTTTATTTTTCGTGTAGCACATTCTTTAAATTTAGTTAAATGCTTTTGGCAGCTGTAAGACAGCCTTTGGTTTTCTTGGGGTTTTTTTCTTCAATGTTTGTATAATTTCTGTACTCACAGATGGCAGATAATTTGTTTTAGTATTGTAAGTGGTATCAAATTCTACTTGCAAATGATAGTCATATTCTTGAGACCCTAAGATCAAATGTTCTAAATAAAGATGAAATGCATCAGGCGCAAAATAAAGATGAAATGCATCAGGCGCAAAATAAAGATGAAATGCATCAGGCGCAAAATAAAGATGAAATGCATCAGGCGCAAAATAAAGTCAATACACTTTTAAAGAAAATAAAAACTTTGTATGTTGTTTTTATGAAGTAGCTTTGGCAAAAAATCAAGTTACAATTTTAATTTGAATTAAATACTTAATCCCTATCATGAACAAGTTGAAAATGTGCTTGAAATAAAAGCTTTCTACTTACGAGTTTGCCGAGAGAAAGTTTGGTTTTCTAATTAGTTTTTTGACCATGACAATATTCATTTTGATAAAATTGTCGAGTTTTCCGAGTTTATGGCAAATGAGATAAATATATCAGTACTAATATATTTACAACCAATTATTAGAAATAAGTTAAAATTAGTTTTTCCAAATGCTGACATTGTATATTGGATTTTTCTAACCCTTCCCATTGCCAATTGTAGTGCAGAGCAAGCATTTTTGAAAATGACAAGAGTTCTCCGTTGATCTCTGTTCATCAATGCTTATTGGACAATTAAATTTTCCTTGAATTTAAGCGACCAATATAACGAACAACAATTTAAAGAACCCTGTTACAAAAGATAAATTTTGAAGATGACGTAAAGTAAGAAATCTGCTTACCAGAAACAAAAAACAATTTTATTTGAGCAAATCTGACTTTTTACTTGACTAAAGAAACTTGAATCCATATGCATTTATAACGTTCGTGGTCTTTTCGATGACATTGGCATTGTTCACAATCCTGAAGAGTGGAGGTTTTTCATTGACGGTTTAACAAGAAGTGTAAAGGCAGTTTTGCTCCATAATGGAAACTATTTTTCCTTCAATTCCAGTAGCTCATTCCATTCATCTAAAGGAAGACTATAAGAACAAGCAAGAAAGTTGTTGCTTGAGAAAATTAACTACGACAGTTACAAGTGGGATATATGTGGAGACTTTAGGATGCTAGCGTTTCTTCTCGGTCTACAAGGAGGATACACAAAGTACTCATGTTTTCTTTATTTATGGGATAGCAGTGCTGTGGACCAGTACTTCACGAGACATGAGCAGCCAGTGAGAGAACATTTACAGCCTGGTTTGCACAATCTTATTAATCAATCCCTGATACCTGTAGAGAAGATCTTACTACCACACATTCAGATTAAATTAGGTATTGTCAAACAATTTGTCAAAGCATTAAACCCAGCTAGTGCAGCGTTCCAGCATATTCGGCAGACGTTTCCAAAGGTATCAGAGGCAAAAATTTTAGCAAAACCATGTTCTACTGTTCACTTCTAGTGTCTTTTGAGATTTTTAGAGACTATTACATAAGAACACAAGGCCGTAGACAACTTTTTTTGATGTTTGAGCTTAGCAACTTTGGAACATGAAAAAAACTCCATATTTAAGTATGTTCATATATATGAGGAATGAGGATGCTATGCAAAAAATTACGGTGATTGGAGACTGGAAACAACAAAACCCCTAAAACGTTAGCCCCCCAGCCCCAAACAGAAGGGCAATTAGTCAAATTTTTTTTTTTTTTTTTAATCTTAAACTTAATTTATATTCATCTTCAAATTTCAAATTTGATTCAATAACTTCTTATTGATCGGCTTTTATGACCTTATAAAGTTTACAGCCCCCTCAATTTAAGGGGGGGGGGGGGTACTTCATAAGGTCATAAAACTTCATAAGGTCATAAAAGCCGAACAACAAAAAATTATTGAATCAAATTTGAAATTCGACGATGAATATAAATTAAGTTTAAGATTAAAAAAAAAAATTACAAATTTGACTAATTGCCCTTCTGTTTGGGGCTAGGGGGCTAACGTTTTAGGGGTTTTGTTGTTCCCAGTCTCCAATCACCGTAATTTTTTGCATAGCATCCTCATTCCTTATATTTATGAACATACTTAAATATGGAGTTTTCTTTATGTTTCAAATTTGCTTAGCTCAAACATCAAAAAAAGTTGTCTACGGCCTTGGAACATAATGTAAAATTATGTAATATATGTATGTAACGTGATGTAACATGACGCTTTGTAATATAACATAACATTTTTGAACTAGTAAATGTTATATATTGACTAATTTTGTATCTCATGCAATACGATTAATATTAATTATATGTTTAATTAAATTTTTAGTTTTATAATCAAACGGTTTATGCAATAAAAAACGTCATATTTAGACGCAGCATACTCAAATTAGATAAGAAACATCAAAAATTTCGATTAATAGAGAAATTTTTTTTTTTTTTTTTTTTTTGCATTGTGTTATTTCTTTGTTATTTTTATTTATTACATCCATAGTAAATTATATATACTTTTATTTGCAATTAAAAATAAAAAGTCATTTTAACAAGATAAATAAAATTTTAAAAACTTTTTATTTTCTTTGAGCAACAAAAATGCGTGCACTCAGCGTATAGTTTTTTAACTTATAACTTTTTTTTATTAAAAATTTGTATAATTTATAAATTTTAATTTATTTGGTCTTTTTAAAAAGTTAATTATTGCATTTTAAAACACGGCTACCTATTGTAAACAAAATAAAAACGATCAAACAAACAAAAAATTCAATAAACCCACTTTATGATGAAATATGATTTTTGTGAAAATTTTCTATCAGATATATTTAATTCCTGATAATAATAAAGGACCAAGGAAAATGGTTCAACTTAACGAATGTTCGACTAAAGCGAATTTCCGTTGAAAAATGGAACTTTGGCTAATATGAGATATTAGTTTGAGTTAAGGATTTTTCTTCATTCAATGCAAAAGTATAAAAACTAAATATATACCATTATACTAACAAAAAAGTTTATTATGTTTCAGCGAAATTAGTTACGTGCAAAAGGCGTACGAGGTGGGGGAGAGAGAGGGTGGGGCGTTGCGAGTGTTTAGCCTCCCAACGAATTTTACTAGTCGGCATATTAGATACTGGAGTCAGAAAAATTGGATTTATAGTTGGCAGCCGGCAAATATCAGCTAATGAAAACTTTTAGTTGGCTTACAAATATTTTTTTTTTGCTTTCAAGATAATAATAAGATAATTGCTTTTTTAAAATTATTATGGTTCATTTTTTTCCAGTTTTATTACAACTTTATTTTACGCCTAATAATGATCTATTTAGATCTATATACAACAAAAAAGTATAGAAATTATTAGGCTAGGTTTATTTATCTTTTATATGGAACAACTTCTAAAAAAAAATTTTCATCAAGTTTTGATTCTTAATTTTCCATACGAAAAGTTGGAGTTAATTAAAGAAATTTGCCGAAAAGGGATTTAAAAAATGGTTCCAGTTAACAATGTTCGAGTTGTCCGAGGTTCGACTTAACCGGAGAACGTTATCAATCAGAAAACTTCAAGGGACTAAATGAGATAAAAAGAGTTTGAGTTACCGGTACTTACCGGGAATTAAATGTAGTTGCGGAATAGAAATTCTAGCGTTTTGGATTACTTGTCAAAATATTTTGTCAGACCGTATTTGTAACAAATGTTATCAAGCTACAAAACTTGGCGTTTTACAGTGGCATAGCCGAGGTCGATTTGTTACTGTCCCTATTTTTAAGTAGGAAAGCGCAGTGCAAAATCAATTAAATTTAAGATTTGTACTGCGCTCTTCTATTCAAATCCTATTAGAGTGGTTACCCTACAAAAGGTAACAGCTCTCCTTCTTTTATGAGAAGTATTTAAATTAGAGTAAAAGTTTTGAGAAGCGCGTGTTTTTTGTTTGCTTGTTGTTGTTTTATTTGTTTGTTTATGTGTTATTTACAAGAATTCGTTGAGAGTTTTTAATTTTCAAAATAAATTTTTTTTATAAAAAAAAAAAACCACCCCAACAAAAGGTTACACCTTCTTAACCCTAAGAAAATTGTAACTAACAAGGTTTTTATTTCTGGCTTCACGTCTTATACTTTTTTTAAATCTGCCTTTTAAAAGGTTTGTATTATACTAGATTTAAATTAGTAAATTTACTATTTGTAATCATCCTTGAATGTATAATCTTTATTCAGAAATAAATGATTAATTGATTGATTGTAAAAAGTTGGTATTTAAAATTTTCTTTATTTATATGTAACAAAATTTCGAATTCTTCCGTTCTTTTTTAAAAAGGAAATATTTGGCGTAATTTAATTTTTTTAAACGGCTAAATATTATCAAATTTAAAAATGGCGAGAATTGTATCACATGGTAATAATAAAACTCCAGCTGTTTATCAACTTGAGAAAAATGGAGAACATTGGATGCTTGGATCTGAAGTTGGTTCTGCAATGCAGTTTTACAAAGGAGCCTTATATAAAAGATTTCCTTCGCTATACCGACGTGTTTTAACATTAGAAGAGCGACAAATATTATGCAATTTAAACGTAGATATGCGAACATTGACGAATTTAGGAACTATGGTTGTAAAAGCGTCAGAAGCAAGAAAAGTGCTAAGTGGTGACGGAGACATTTATAGACAAAAAAATACTCAAGTTGCAAAAGAAAACAACAAAAATAAGATTGCAATAAACATTGCGTTCTGCCGTCAAAAAACAAATATAAAAGATCAAGAAAATTGTACGTATATTCCTACAGCTTGTGGAAAAGAACTCAAAAGTATTACTTCTAAACTTAATATTAAATCAGGGTTCGCAAAAGTAAAGAATGATTCTATAGACTCGACGAATGTGGAAGTGAGATATATAGAACCCGAATTTGTAAGTGTGACGACTCTTCCGACTTTGTGCGAAAAAAAAAAAAATCGATCCAGAGAATTTTTAAAGCAATTATTTAAAGTCAAGTAAGTATGATCTCTGGATTGATATTACTGTTTTGTTAATCGATATTACTGTTTTGAGTTAACTGATTTTCAGTTTTCTTATTTATTATTACTTCATTTTTTTTTTTTACGTGTTGGTCTTATACTTTGGCTAATCGAGTCATAAATTCCGAAAAGCGAGTTACTAACAAAAAGAATAGCCATGAATGAAATGAAAATTGTCCAAAATCAATAAATATGTTGTATCAAGAATTTCTTTTTATAAAATAATGTTAAATTTATATTATAAATTTCTGAAAAAAAGTGGATGATTTTTTTTGTAAGCTTGGTATGAAATTGTTGTTCTGGTTTTAAACGCTGTGAAAAAGAATGCCATTACAAACCTTTGGAGAAAAACCAAAGTCTTTTCAATTAAATGACAATAGTGATGAGTTATTTATGATTGGAAGTGAAGTTGGAAGCTACTTGCATATGATGAGAGGCTCAGTTTACAAGCGTTATCCTTGTTTATGGAAACGGCTTGCAACATCTGATGAGCGTAAAAAAATGTCAAAATATGCAATGCATCAACTTCCAGCTCATGTCATGATAGTAAAAGCTGCTGAGGTTGAAGAACTTATAGAAGGAAAAGAAAGCAAATACAAAAATGAAGGAGGTTCAACTGTTGCAAAAGACTCTCCACAATTACTTCCTAAACCACGACAGAGAGGAAAACCTGATATTTGGGTACCAAATATTTTACCAAATAACTCACATCATTTAGATGCGGTTCCTGCTGGTACTCCAATCAGCAGACATAGGGTTGGTTCTAAAAGAGTCAAGACATTCCCAACTTGGTACCTATATATTTTTGTAGTCTGTTCCTGTTTGAAAATGTCTTTGATGTAAAAAAATAGGGATAAGATTTTTAGGTCATGTTTTTAAATCCATTTAAATATCCATAAAATAACTATTATTAAAAATACTATTTCAGTTATGATGATCATGACATGGCAGCAATTCACGATGCAGCGAATGAAGTTGAAGAGCTTATTCCCATACGCTTAGATATTGAGCTTGATGGACAAAAACTGAGAGATACTTTTACTTGGAATAAAAATGGTTTCTATTAGTTTAAATTATTTTTTTTTTACTTTTTCATATATTTCATTTCATTTACACTTCCATGCACATCATGCATTACTGTTTTTATTTTTATTTTTTAGAAAAACTAATTTCACCAGAATCATTTGCAGAAGTGTTATGTGATGATTTGGATCTACCTACATTAGTATTTGTACCAGCTATTGTGCAAGCAATGCATACACAAATTCGACAATATAATGCACAGCCAGAAATTTTAAGTGAAATGTCGGATCAACGGGTTATAATTAAGGTAGTACAGTACATTATAATGCACACAAAAAATGATTCTTTATATGTAAATCGTGATTTTTTAATTTGTAATTTGATGATATATATGTGTAGTTAAATTTGCATGTGGGAAATGTTTCTCTGCAAGACCAGTTTGAGTGGGACATTTCTGAAAAGCTTAATAATCCAGAACAATTTGCCTTATCTCTTTGCACTGAGTTAGGTCTTGGTGGTGAGTTTGTGACAGCTATTGCTTACAGTATACGTGGTCAGTTAAATTGGAACAGGAAAACTTATGCATTTAGCGAAAATCCACTACCTGTAGTTGAAAATGCAGTACGCACTGGAATGGATATTGATAAGTGGTGCCCATATTTAGAAACTCTTACAGATGCTGAGATGGAAAAGAAATTAAGAGATCAAGACAGAAATACAAGGTAAAAATAAATATTTTTCGAATTAGTCTTTATGTTGTCTTTTTGTTATTGACCTATTTTAATCTTACTTTAGGCGGATGCGTCGGCTTGCCAATACAATACCTTATTCTATGCAAATTTAATTGGTTAAAAAAGGTATATCAAATATGTTGAAGAATGGTCTTGTTTGGGTAGTTTTTTAAAACTGATTTTTAGATTGAGGTATGCCCAAGTAAAAATACATATGCTGTGCGTAAACATTTTAAAAAGTATGATGGTTTAAAAATCAAGTCAAGCAATATTATCATAAGTATTTATTCATGAAAAAACTACAAAGATTGTTTAATCATTAGAAATTGATAAAAACTTTTAAAAAAGATTTTTGATTGATTCTACTTTTATAAAAAGCTTAAGTTTTATTAAATTTCATATATCAATCTTTTATTATCAATATTCAATATTAAAAATATTATTAATTAGATTTATTTACTATTATCAATGAGATCTATTTTATGTGATGTTGCTTTTTTCATGTCGAGGATTATATCGAGGATTAAACTCACTTTTAGATAGTCAATCAAAGAGGGCTTCCATAAATTACATTCCATAACAATAAAGGAGAAGAGGGGAGGGGGTAGTAAAGTTAATCAAAAGCGTGAAAGTACATAGAGAAAAGACGCGTACTATTAACTTAATATTTTCAAAAAATACACTATTTTTAAGTAAAAATCATTAAACATAAGTAATAAAAATAATGCGTGGTAATCTTGTTTTAAAATTATTGACTTAAACCTTTTACTAATTCGTAAATATTAAAATTGATATTAATATAATCAAAATTTAATAACTTTTTAAAAACAATTATCACTGCGACTCACAGTGGGCCAGGTGGTGGTAAAAAAAATACATTATCAAAAATTACATTATTATATATCGTTTTAGAGCTTAAACATTCAACTTTTTAAAAATTTATATATTTTTGTATAATTATCATGACGTATGATTCTAAGCTGTAGAATAAAAAACTTTTTTCTAAATTTTCGTTTTTAATTTGATAGTATTTTTTATGTTACTAATAGGTATGAAATAGATGTTTACTTTAAAACCTATCTTTTTATTGCATAATTTAATAAAATCAAGTATTATCTTTCAAATGAGCTATTACATCGCTATTTTGCATGTAATTTAGGTCAAATAAAAAGGTTTCAAATGTCTGTATTTAATGTACTTTTTTTAGTTAAAATATCACTTATATAGTCGAATACTTTTGTGGTCCAAAGCGGTCCAGTAATTTGAAACTTGAAATACATTGTTCAATATGTATATTATCAATATAAATTTGTTTTATAGTCTGCGAATGTCCGCATGGTCTCTATTAATGATTTTTACAAGTTACCCGGTGAAAAAAAGACAGCTTGACGCAAGACGTTTTGAAAAACGTCTAAAACACGTATTTCATACGTCTTTAACGCGTTTTTTTAACCCATAAGTAGCGACTAGCTAGTTGCTAGCTTATCTCCCACCGGGCAACTGATGTATCCGATTTTATGTGACGAAAACATTCTATGTATTTTGTTCTAAATGGTTATGTAATAATTGGGTGTCAGCAAGACTAGATTAGTGTTACAAACTTGTTTTATTAATTATACATCCTCAAATACCTAATTGTAAATTTTGTAAATAAAATTTATATTTTTATATAGTTAAAACATGAAAAGTATTGGTATTTATTCATATATAACACAAGAAAACCTGAAATTAGCTAATCCTAATATTTTATATACACAAAAAGGTTAAAACTCAGGGTTTCTTTTTATATGGTTTATGTAGTAGTTTTATGACATGTAAAATAGAGCCTTGAAACTGCATAAAAATACTTAAAATTAGTAATTGGGAATGTGTTGAATTTTTAAATGCATAAAATAATTTTTATTTAGACTGTCATATTAATATTATTCTAGTTATAACATTGATGTTTGGACAAAAGTTACTTAAGCTAGTAACAGGGGCGCACAGAGGGTGAGGAATCCGGATCGTTTACCCCCGGGCATCACATTTATGGGGGCATCATCAGATGAAAAAAAAAAATTATCAGTATACCAAATAAAAAATTGAAAACATCCAATAAAGAAAAGAAAAATGTTCAATTTGTTATTATATTTCGATTTTTGATTTTGTTTCGATTTGATCTGATTAAACCGATTACTAATTCCTAAGCCCAATTTTGCGGTAGACAACTCTCTATTTAGAGACGAAGTGTTTTTTCTTTCCTTCTGAAATCAGTGTTTACACTCTATGATATGCCTTCTGAATAGCTCTTCAAACCATGCGAGAAAACTACAAACTACATGTAATGTTATCGTGAAAAATAGGAAAAAGAAAAGTGAAAATGTTCTGCCCATAATGCGTCTTATTATCAAAATAATGCATCAAAAGCATTTGAAGTCGACGAAAGCATTTAAATTCAAGCTCTGAAACAGCAATGTAGATTGTTTTCTTTCATCTGGTCTACGCCTTTCATCAAATCAAATCAAATCAAATATATTCTGAATAAAGTTGTTACATCAAGGATATTTACAAATAGTAATTTGTACTAATATAAAGTAAAAACCTGTCAAACTAAATAAAAATAAGATGGAGATAGTAATAATAATAATTATAATACAAGTAGGATTAATAAAAGTAATAGTAGTGATTATAGTGATAAAAAAAAATAATAGTAGCGATTATAAAAAGAATATACTATAATAATAATAATAATAATAATAATAATAATAATAATAATAATAATAATAATAATAATAATAATAATAATAATAGCAATAATAGCAATAATAATAATAACAAAAATAATAACAACAACAATAATAACAATTACAATAAGATTCATTATGGTAAAAATATAGTAATAATAACAACAACAGTGATAAGAGAATACTATAGAAACATATCAGTTTATAATAATAAATTTAATAATTGATATTAAAATTAGTAATATATCACGATAGAAATGAGAAAAAATAAAAGATGAATAGAAGCACTGCGTTAGGGTTATAAATAATAAGTTGTAAAAAGGTATAAGATTTATAAAGAGTATTTTTCTAAAAAATGGTTAAAGAGAGCAGTTTTAAATTTTGAGAATGATTTAAGAGATTTTAATTGGGAAGGGAGATTGTTCCAGGTTTGTATGCTTTTATGTTGTATGGATTCGTAGCCGTAGTGAACAGTTCGGTATTTAGGTACAGATAATTTAAAGTTGAGAGCAGATCGTAGAATATATTTACATTTTCCCTATAACTAAAAAAGTTGATAAATTTAAGAGATAAGTTATTATGATTTTGGTTCTAAACAAATAGACAATTTGATAGCTGAATAAGCAAGCTGCTTAGATTGTCCCCAAACTTGGCAAGCATATCTGAGATGAGAGTGAAAAATAGCATGATATAAATTAAGCAAAGTTTCATGGTTAACAAAATGACGAATTTTAGCTAAAATACCATTCGATCTGCTTAATTTCAATGCTAAGTCTTGAAGATGCAATGCAAAAGATAAATTAGAGTCTATTTTGATTCCAAGATATTTAATAGAGTTAACTGGATTTATTTTTTGGCCACTTAATCTGAAATTTAATTGCTTATTTATTTTTGTTTGAGCAGATTTAAATATAATAATTTCCGTTTTTTTAGAGTTAAGAGATAATTTATTGAAGCGGAGCCATTGAACAACATTAGCGTGATTCATATTTTTGTTACGTTTTTTAAGTTTATTAATTAGGAGTAAGTTGGTGTCATCCGCGAAGTGATAAGTAGTAGAAAATTTAAGAGAAACATTTAAATCATTGATAAAAATAAGAAAAAGTAATGGACCTAAAACCGAATCTTGAGGAACACCATTAAAAGATTTAGCAAGTCCTGAGTTGATACCATTAGTTGAAACAAATTGTGTTCTATCAAAGATAAGAGGAAAACCAGAGAAAAGGAATACCTCTTATACCGTAGTGTTTCAATTTTTCTAAGAGGATTGTGTGCTCAACTGTATCAAATGCTTTTCTTATGTCAATAAACACTCCACACGCAAAGTGTTTATTATCGATGGCTTGTCTAATTTTCTCTGTTATTTCTATTAATGAATGAGTTGTTGAGTCTTTGTTGCGAAAACCATACTGGTGTTTGTAAATAAATTAATGTTTTTCCAAAAAATGCTCGAGTCTTTGGAACATTGCTTTTTCAAATAGTTTACTTAAGTTAGAAAGAAGTGAAATAGGTCGATAATTGGAGTAGTCTAGATAAGAGCCCATTTTGTGTATAGGAATTACTTTGGCTACCTCAAAAGCTTCTGGAAAAATACCATCCTCAATTTAGACTTAACAAACAGTCAAGAACCTAAAGTTAAAGACCTCATACTTCTGTATCCAAATGATCTTAGTGAAAATGAGTTTATTGATGAGTTCTGCCACTTTTCGTCTGTTCAACGCCATCTACTGACAAGTGATCGGCCCTTAGATCTTCTGAAAAGCATTTATGCGAAGAGATTTGAAGAAAATTTTCCCCATATATGCATCTGTCTTCGTATCTTTCTTCCTTTGCCAATATCTGTGGCTGAAGGCGAGAGATCTTTTAGCAAGATAGCTCTCTTCAAGAACTCTCTAAGAGCTACCATGGGGCAGGATTGTCTTAACGACTGTCTTATCCTTTTAATCGAAACAGATCTTGCGAAGAAAGTTAATTAGGATGTTGTAACTTTAAACTTTGCTGCTAGAAAAGCTCGTAAAGTCTTGGTATAACGTCAGAAAAACTTGATACCAAATCCAGAAATATTTTTTTTCTTTGTTGTATTTAACTGTTTGATCTTAGAACTGTCTTAAATACAAATTTTTAAAATTATTTTGTGAATACTTAAAATAATAGCTTTATTTTTCTTATTATTTTTATTTTGGTGGTGGTTAAAGGATCATCCAGTATATTTTTATATAATATACCCCGGGCACCATGAAGTCTCTGTGCGCCCCTGGCTAGTAACTATGCAAAATGAAGCGTCAGGCATTTTAGGTGTCACTACCGACCAAATAAAAAAATCCATAGTATAACTACATTTTTAGTATTAAAATACTCAATGTGGTAGTTATGGGAGAAATCCAATAAAGTTTTTACTTTTTTTACTTTATTTTTGTTAAGGTAATAAAATATGTGGTTGTCAAACAGTTTAGGTATCCATAGCAACCATAATTAAAAAATAATGTCACCATTAAAACTGCAAGTTAGTAAACAGGGTAAAAATGATTCTCAAATCTCTTTTATATGACGAGTTATTAGTTTTGTCCAGTAAAAGTGATTTCTGGCCCACTGTGCGATAATAATTTGAATACATGAAATTAACATAAATAAATTTGAAAGATCGATTAAAGAAGCCTTGTAAATTCAATACCAAAAAAACTGGCCCTTATGATCCAATTGCTGGATAGTTCAATGGAATCCGTTATTACAAAAAAGGACACTAGTGTTTATGTGTCAATTAACAT